AAACCATTATTACTCTGTTGGCCTGCAAGCGTAATTATAACGCGCAAGCTTGGAATGCAGGGCACTATAAAATACCATGTGCAATTTGAAATCAACCCACGCCACTGATCGGCCAGCTAGCTCCGTTAGCCAAATAGTTAACAGCGTAGAGAGATATGCTCTTACTCAGGGCAGTAGGTAAGTGAATAAAAAAAACTTTGACAACAAACTATTATAAAAGATTCCAAGTAACTCTCCATCACTAATACTTACTAGTGCTTCGATTCAAGTCTTTCGGGCGCCACCTAATTCCACTAACAATTTTATCTGGAGCCACCGGAATTAGGAAAGGTAACTTCAGTATAAAAAAAGTCAACAATTGACCCACAAAGAAAATTATCGTTTATTAAGCAATCAAATAATATGCAAAAATAAAAAAAAAATAAAAATGAAATCTTCCCATGAACTAGTAACACAAAAATTAACACACCAACAACCCCTGAAGTTATGTGACACCTCGTACCGCTAAGCAACAAGTATAACTACTAAAAATTAAAATTGCAATGAGGTACTATAATCGGTAGCTTGAGGTGTTGAAGTTAATCGTAGTAACGAGCTCTTACCTTCCAAGTGATTACTTCTCTAGAGTAATTCGTATTTGATAGTTAAACCGTCCTAAAGATCAAGCATACTAATTACACGTAAAAATTTCCATTTCCACATGTGGGTCAAATAAACTGTTCATAGATATTTAGGTCTTAACAACAAAGAAAGAAAAAAAAAGTTGAAGGTACGTCACCGCTAACGATAAATTGTGTCGACAATTCCACAGGTTCCTGGTGTAACCAAAAATAACTCCTACGGAGGTAACAAAGCTTGTGCTTGTGCTCCAGGTAAATTTCTCTCATGATCTACGTTCGGCTGCCCTTAAGATCTTAATGATTCTACGGGATGTTTTACAGCACACTCATCTGCAGTAGGCCGATTATTTCCCCGGATTCGGCTAAATATTAACCCCCTTGCAAAGACTGTCTTATTCAGAGAGTACATAAAAGAAAAGAACTGGGTAGGTCTCAAATGGCTTCAAAATTTACTGTATGGTCGGCATGTGTTCTCGATTTGGAATGCTTGAGTTTTCCGTATTAAAAGTCTATTTCGGAAAAAATTGTAACCGAACGTCCAAAAACAAATTGTCGGCACAACGAGCAATCGATTGATTAAAGATGCTTCCGCTAAGTATTAAATCAATTCGACCATTGGAAAATCTATCAAACACCCAAATTCGGGAATTTAGCACGACCGATTCTATTGCAGGTTGCTGGAAGACGTCACAAGTTTCGAAATTTTACCCAAGCCAATGCTACAGATAGTTATCTCTGACGAAAAGTAGAGCAGTATTTGATACATTGCCACATAAGGGAATTTAATGGTTAACATAAAAAAAAGCAAAATAAACTAAAGCTGAATTTATAGTTCCGTACCCGCAACGCCGTACCGTAACGTTTAGAATTAAACCCTACTTGTTGCGTGTAAACATTTATAGTTCGCGTTAACGTTGCGTTAGAACGGTTACGGTACGTAGGAAATGCCCAAATCTCATTTCTTACGGTAAATCGTGCTAACGCGTTTGTCGTCGGCAGTACTCGGATAATTCAAACAGTTGAGTTTATCCTGACGTTCGTTTCGTTTATTTATAATAATTATTGACACTTTGTTGGTTATTATTATTTTGAAATACACGTTACTCTTACTGACAGATGACATACAATGGCAGAATTCGTTTCGCACTAATGCGCAAGCTCATCTCTTACCACTACGGTAACTATAATTCGTATAATTTTCGTTAACGTAAGATTTTACGGTTCCGTTCTTACGTTCTTACGGCTACGGAACTATAAATCCGGCTTTACTCATAGAATGAAATTCCACTTTCTGTACTACTAAGTGCCCCACAAATTAAACGCACCATTTTAATTATTACTTTCGTAAAAACTACTCGCATTTTCTACTGTAATAACACTATAAACCCCTTTATGTTCTACGGAACTGACACGCCAATGAAATGTTGGGAATGTAAAGCCGGATTTATAGTTCCGTAGCCGTAAGAACGGAACCGTAAAATCTTACGTTACCGAAAATTATACGATTTATAGTTCCCGTAGTGGTAAGAGATGAGCTTGCGCATTAGTGCGAAACGAATTCTGCCATTGTATATCATCTGTCAGTAAGAGTAACGTGCATTTCAAAATAATAATAACCAACAAGTGTCAATAATTATTGTAAATAAACGAAACGAACGTCAGGATAAACTCAACTGTTTGAATTATCCGAGTACTACCGAAGACAAGCGCGTTAGCACGATTGACCGTAAGAAATAAGATTTGGGCATTTCCTACGTACCGTAACCGTTCTAACGCAACGTTAACGCGAACTATAAATGTTCACGCGCAACAAGTAGGGTTTAATTCCAAACGTTACGGTACGGTGTTGCGGTTACGGAACTATAAATTCAGCTTTACATACTATTTGCGTTTACGTAACGCGAGACACGGAAAAGAGCGCCATCTACACGGCCCGGTGTGGAATGACGAAAAATAAAGGAACAAATTAATTATATAAACAAGGTCATTTAATATCTAAGATATGTGATATTCTGATATTACTACATACCACAATATTATCAATTTATCCACAACAATAACTATCACAAAGCACGTAAAACCATCAATAAAGTTTAAACCAAGTATGACAGTTTACTGTTGACACTTCCTACCGCGACGTCGTGGCGCTGTAATTTGCGAACGGTTTTCAATGTTAGTTTCCTGTATTAATATAAAGGGTGGCGCAATGGGTATTGACGATTTCTGAGACATCACTGTCCGTCGTCCGAATATGAGAAAAGTGGAGGGGGTAATCTACTGCTTAAAATATTCCTCATGTAATGCAGTTTAGTAGCCATGGCATGGTTAAATGGACAGTGAATCAACGCAGTTTTTGCGTTAGAGCGTATCACTGATCGGAGTCTGTTATTGAGGTCCAGCAACAGTTTCGGCGCGAATCAGATTTAACCAGCCCTGACTTTTTCTTATGGGGATATTTGAAGGCTAGGGTTTTCGAAAATAGACCTCAAACGCTAGAAGCTGTAAAAGGCAACATTACTCGCGAAATCGAGAGCCATAAACCAGAAGATGGTGCTACGAGTTACAGAGAGTTTTTTTTCGTTCACGACTGCAGGAATGTTTAGACACACTTAAAAGACATTGTTTTTAAAAAATAAAATTTGTTGTAAAACTGCATTATATGTGTAATAAAAATATATGTTTCTGGCCTGGCCTTAATCGTTTAATTACTATAGCCATAATAACGCTCCTAAAACCATCAATACCCATTGCGTCGCCCTGTATTAAGGTATTTGTAATTATTAAACGGCCGTTATTTTCACGCGTAGACATTTCTTGATTAAAGCATGTAAATGTAAAGCTCAATCAAGACGTGAGCGCCACCCCTCCTGCACGAGTGGATCTTACCGTAATTAATGATAGGGTATAATTGAAAAGTTGCGATACACCATCATTAAGATACGCAACATATAACATTATTAAAAAACCACGATAATAATTTAGCTGCGGTTATAAATTGGAATTAACGGCGTTTTGTAAACACCCATTCGTAAGTCAATTTATTTGCACAATTTTTATTGCATCGGTGAAGCTTTCAGGCGAAATATTATTTATGTCTGCTTGCGCTTTTAAAAATGGATTACTGAAAAAATTCGTGAGATGCTTCGTGTTAACTCTTTAACATTATTTACATTGGCCCGTTACCCTCCGAATTGTCAATGTCATAACAAATAGAAGCTGTGAATTGGAAAATATTTTGAGAATTTTTCGATGATATGAAATTTTGATTATTTTTTAATCCAGCTTGTAGCGATGAAAGGAAAACTAATTCCACTGCAATTATCGGGGTAATTAATTTTACTAGAGATCATTTCCATTTCGGGCGACGGTGTTAGTTGCCAAATGCCAAATGGTTTGCAATATCAATTTAAAAGCAGTCTGCACTCCTGCATTAAAATAACCTGGCCACGCATTTACACAAAATATGTGGTTGGTTTCCTTGAAGGCTTTTTTTATTAATGAAAATCAGAACAGAATGCATGCGATTTGCTCGAAAATGACGTTCGAATGCTCGGGGCTTTCATGCTTTTGCTATAACATTTCCGCGTGTAAAAGTTAGCGTGATGTGTATCTAATGATATTAAGGTTTTAATCGGAAAGTAGTTAATTAATTGGCTACTGCAGGGAGAAACAAGCAGTGAAGTAGGTAGAAAAAAGAAGGACACCAACATGAGCACTTTCTCTAAATACATCGATGGTAGGAAATGCTTCCTCAAGGAACTGCCCCTCAAACAATCCAGTTTTGACGCAGTCCACAAAAGTGGGATGCCTATGTCGTCGATTTCTCATCCTAATGATATGACCAACTGGATTACCATAAGATTTTTAGATACGTAGGTTCCCATGTAATCCAGCCTTCGCAGAAGCCATTATTGTCTTCTCGACTTTCTTGATTTCTCAGTTTCGACACAGATATACGTAACGTACCTATATCTGTGGTTTCGATGTAGGTACCCGATGAGAGGCAAATTAGAGACCGACACAACTAGATGTATGTAGCCTCTCTTGGAATTCTGATACTGTCTGTTCGACATATTATCGACGAACTCCGATAAATAACGCATTCAATTTATTTATTTATTTATTTCAATTCACAATTCAATTCAATGAAAAAGTAAAGTTCGGTTTGGCTCGCTCATTGTTTTTTCGATTTGATTTCAAGGCTTTCTGTGATCAATTAAGTAGGTAGTTTCCATACCATTCCAGCGTGTGAGAGACCATGTTCAGGGTTAAACGTGCCTTTAAAGCCTAAAGAGGCTGGATAAGACACTTTTGGAAAAAGACGCCCTTCGTGTCCGTACGGAACCGTAGAAGAGTTAAGTTACTTCTTGTGAAAATGTAATGTGTAAAGGTCCACTCAAACCGACGCGGGAATACGAGCACGGGAGCGGGAGTGGTACGGTTGCGGGATATATTTTTTCAGCGGTAGGTATATACGTGCCAATCGCCGCATCCGTATGTGTACTTGCATAACCCGGTTTACAAATATCCATACCGCTCTTGCCCTAGTGCCCGCATTCCTGTATCGGTTTGAGTGGACTTTAAGTCTATACACATTTATCAGGGAATTTGAAGGAATTGCTAGATAATTCTGGGAATTTACAGATCTGTCTGGAAATTGTCATGTCTTTCTGGGAATTTACATATTTAATACACTGAACACGAGAGAATGCCGGTCACAGAACACTTGATGATCGTGTGGTTTAATATGAAACACACACGATTGTAGATCGGGATCAAGTGTTCTGTGACCGACATTCTCTCCTGGCGAGCAATATATCTGAAAATGTATGTACAGTACAGTAACCGACGACCTGAATCGATTATGATGATTGATGTGGGAGATTAATGCGAATAGCAATAACGTGATCGATACAGCGAAAGAAAAAGGCAGAAAGGTTCGTTGGAGTATATAAGGCTTGTGCTAGTGCAATCTTGTGGTGCTTTCTTACGAAAATTACGATCTCGCACATTTTGTTGACAACGCAGGGAAAATCCTAAGAGATACGAAGAAATTTATAGACGGTATACTGTAGGGTACTAAATTTCCCACCAAAGTTTTCACAATAACAAGCATCTAAATGTGTAGGTTTGCGGGAATTTAGTCCTCTACAATTTATCTTTTGAATCGAAGGGGCGCGAGTGTAATTTTCATAAGAAATCTCCATTAAATTTTGATGATAAAACATAAGGTTTTAACCTAATCGCTGTTTACACGACATCATTTTGTCGCACGATTTATCTGCGTCTGAGTTGCTGAGCATAGATTTTATAGGTTTGCTCAAGCGCGCATCTAGGTTTCTTTGAGAAGCGTCGAAAATGTTATTGGAAAACAGCTTCTTTTTTGCTTGCTTCGCAGCTGTACAGCTGTACGCAGGGGCACACTTACTGTATTTTATTACGAACAACTGTATCGTCTGTATCGCTTCTTTGGCAGCTTGGCACCAAAAATTTATAGTACTACGACAAAGAATTGTCGCTGAATTCTGGACAGTAAACTGGTCTCGAGAAATGTCAAATCTGGGTTTGAATCAAGATTATATTACTGTATGGAAGCTAGTGAAGGCCACTTCGACCAATCCATGTGGTGGTTTAAATCTTTTTGGGCTTTTATTACTTTTATTAAAATTTGAAACTTTAAAGTGCGATTTCTTAGTAACTGATCGCCCCATTAAAAAAAAATACGCTTGTATGTAGTGAAAACTCCTTTTAAAAAATCGGTTATTTGACCGGTCGTCCCATTTAGGCATTTGTAGAGAGTGGTAACCCCTAACATAACGGTACATTATTTTTGTATACAAACTGTCCCCTCAACCGGTATTTGGGTTTTTATTAATACATTAATTTGGTAATTTGGGGGGGGGGGGTGCAAATGTCCGTCAAGACATTGTGTATATTTCTTTTATATTTTATTTGCACCAATATTATGAGGGGGGAGGGGGCGCAAATATCCGTTAGGACATTGTGTATATTTCTAAGAGTATCATATTCACATTAAAAAAAATTTAATTTATGACGAATTTCGCAGATAACTCGAGCTTACTGCCCTGGTACGTCTCACAGAGGTACGAAAAAAATACACGTTAGTAAATAGGGATGAGATGAGGCAGTAGCTGAAATACGTAATTGGAAAAAAAAACATTCTTTCGTACTCTAATAAAAGTTTACTAAATTGATTGGACATAAAGATTTACGTTTCAATTCAATATAAAATTCTAATAAATTCGAATGCATGAATAATCTTGAATTGTTTTAAAAGAAAACCGAAAACGTGAACTTTATACCGCAAATGGTCAAAGAAAATCCTACAAAATACTGTTGTGTAATTCGGCTGGATCACCTACCCAAGAGTACTAAAACGAGTAAATATCACGCCGAATTTCGGGGCTATTACTTATCAAAGTAAATGAAACTGTCACCCCGTTATCCGTAGCTAAGAATGATTTCAAAGGGCCAACACAAAATTTACTTGCTATATTTTCACATGCACTTTTTAAAATTTTATTTTACAAATGACCACTAGACTTTTCCACATTAACAAGACACTTAAATCTAAAACGAAATAAATTTAATGTTCATCAAATAACATAGAATAAACCAGAAAAATGTCCCCACTTACTATCTTTCCGTTGTATGCCGGTGTCAATCCTCCACGTCTTTTCACTGAATTTCAAAATCAAAATTAAAAACTTCGAATTTTATAATTTCTCTCCGTACACATCCGGCATCTACTCGAAGAAAAATGCTAATATTGACTTAACATTTCTCAATTTGAAAGGCTTGATAGCCTCGATCAACTTGCGAAAATTCTAAAGAATTACACCATTTTTGATAAACACCTGAAACAATTCTTGGACACGAATGGAAAAGAAATCTGACATGAAAACTCTATCTGGGTTGCACTTTGGATTCGAATGAACACAAAATTAATTAATTGATAATGGCAAAAATCTTGGTGAACTTGCCTCTGCACAGATTTATTATTTAAAAAATGACGAACCAAAAAATAGAACTGACTGCCCGTAAATTAGTGTCAACAGATGTACATTCTCTTCATCCGTCGCAAAAACTAACAGCAGCAGTAGCCTCGTTTACTCGTTGTCTCAAATTAAACGATAATCAACGAACGCGCGAAACCTTCCCACTTCTCCAATACGAATGTGCAGTACTTGGAAGCAGGAGCGTTAGTTAATTTTCGCCTGATAAAACTCCTCCGTAATGACCCGATGTGTCTTACTTCTAACACGTTATCTAAATTGAATAAATTACACAAGCGATAAAATTTAAACAAGAATTACGCATTTATAATATTTCTAAAAGCAAAAACAACACAGAGATCCAAATTCAAATGCAACGAACCAAGTTTGTGCTTATTTCCCTCAGATTTACTTCATGATTTGAAACATTTATCATATACAGCATGTTCCACCATACGAAGGTTTGATGGCAATGAACGCAGTAACGGAAATGTTGGCTTTTATTGCGAATTTCGCTTTTGTATGGATGGCAGTAAGATGAGAACATTGCGGGCACTGAGGAAAGGTCATATAAATGGATTACCGCCCTTTACTGGAGCTTTTTCACTTCAACCGCAGGGTAAAAGAAACTCCGTTGCTAAGATTTCTCCAATACTATTTCCTACGAACGCTAATTACAATTGAAAACCAACTAAAAATTAACTTAATGAAGTCAGTATAGATCATAATTAACGATGAAATCAAATTTCCGTTTTTCACTAATTAAAGCCCTTTCCTTTGTATCCGACTAATGATTAGCACCAAAAACCGTGAGGCTTGACAGGTGGAAAAGCAGTTAATATTAATGTTTCTATTTGTGTGTCTGCGAACAAATGATAACGACCGAAACATAAAATACTGAAATTGAATTGTGTTAAAAATAAACAGACTGGATATCGATCCGTCCGGAAATAAACAGGCATACTGAAAGCTTTATGACAATTTGTAATTAATTGGTCGGAGTCGTTTGCGTGGAAGTGAGCTTTAAAAGTTAACTTTTTTTATTTTTGATCAAATTTATAAGCAGCAACTGAGCTTGGGATTACGTTTATGTGACTGCAACTTGTCTTATAAATAGGTTTCTTCTTATGGAGAGATAAATTTGAGTTTACGTCTTTTTAAATCTCGTGTTGGCGTTATTGTGTGTACAGAAATAGAGTTATATATAGGTAGTAACCTCGTGATCATTGTGCTAATTGACGTATTGTTTCTTTCAGATAACAGCGTCGAAGTTTCCCGTGGTACTGAAACTGGGACACGCACATGGTGGTTTGGGAAAGGTGAAGGTGGAAAACATCGGCGATTTTCAAGACATGGCCAGCGTCGTTGCGGTGGCTAACACGTACTGTACCGTAGAAGCGTACGTCGACTCAAAATATGATATTCATGTACAAAAAATTGGAACCAACTACAAAGCCTTCATGCGTAAGTCAATATCGGGCTGTTGGAAGACGAACACCGGTTCGGCGATGTTAGAGCAAATTCAAATGCCTGAACGCTATCGGGCTTGGGTGGACGAGGTATCGGATTTATTTGGCGGTTTAGACATATGCGCCTTGGAGGTGGTCGTAAGCAAGGATGGCAAGGAATACATCATTGAAGTCAACGATAGCGCGCTCACCTTGCTCGGTGATTCGCAGGAGGAGGATCGACGTCATATTGCCGATTTGGTTGTTTCGAGGATGCAGGCAATTTGTAGACCAAGAACCCCACCGGCTAACGAAGACATTCCACCGCCCCCCGTGGGACCCCGTGGAATATTGGGAAGTTTGAGTAGCCTAACACATTCGGATACTCCCCCTCCGACATCTGAACATGCATCTTTGTCTAGTATTGGAAGGAGAGATAGTCAAGGTGAGGATTATTTTATAGATTTAATCAAAATTTAAATAAACACTTTTGAGTAATTGGTCGAAATACATGATTGTAGATCGGTGTCATGAAAGCTACAAAACAAAACACACCAATTTGTGTTTATCTAATTATCAGTGGTCAACAAATGTCAACTTTTTTTAATTCATAGACGTCTTATGCAAAGAGCTTATAGCCTTAACATAAAATGAGAAAATAAGCTGCGTTGGTGTGAGAGTACGTGCTTTATTTATTTACAATTAATTAACAATAAATTAAGAACAGTCTTGAAATGAATTGATTTGTGACAGTACCAAACATTTACTACTTCCGCGTTGAAATTGGAACTTTCCTGAAACGCAATTCGATTTGCTTATACTATTTCGCGAGTACTACCGAATGTTTTCGAACATTCTAGAACAAAACACGTCACATTTCCCGAAAAATTACGTCAATCCGCCTTCGTTCATGATAGCCGATGAATAATCTTTCATGGCGCCTCGATATCTTCGGGATTTCTGGAAGATTCGCTACAATATACTACTCTGTTGAAACATAATATACAAATTAAGACAATTCAAAGTATGTTCCTCAAATCATTCGTCGAAAAAATGTTTTTTGCTCGAGACAATTTCTAAGAAATATTCTCTCTATGTTGTCGTGGGTTCAAGATAATTTTATCATTCTGTGACAACTTTCGATTTAACACATGTTGATTAGGTACAGTTTTATTAGATACATTCGGCATGTTAGGGTCCCACTTTCCTTTGTATCTGCTTTCCATGTTAAAATATCCCGATCCTGTTCGTCGGAGATTGCTCCGCAGTTATCCGGAAACAAATCTACGCGGCAATGCAGGAAATGTACTGAAATGCACGTCTGTTTGAAGTTGTCAGTTCATCGTTCATAAGCTCTCTGATCTGAGGTCCATCGAATATATCTACCTTCTTTGGTTTTAGCATCGCTTATACGTGGAAATTTTTCTTGAACATGTATAAAAGCTTTCCTTTCTCGGTCTATGCTTTCATAACTCCCTATACCTATGCGTAAAGACGGTATGACCACTTCCTTCGGATTCGTATTTAAATTTTATTACCGTGACTCAATGAACTGAATGATGCGCATCTCTCGCGCAACTGTCTCACTCCCACAAAGGGGCAGAATTTGGTGCATCCAAACTGTAAACCAAGTAAAAAAGTTATATCTCCTGCAGTCCTGCAATCTGCATTCGTACTCAGTATATTTCAAGGCGTCATACATCCGCTTTCCGTTTATTGATTTCTTACCATATTGTCTATTGTCAAGCAATTACTATTACTCCCGCCATTCATTTTACTTTATTGAATTCATACAGACGAAACCCATTATGGACACATGACACATTCAATCGTGATTAAACTGGATTCACATTTCGAAATAGTTTTGGGGAAGGGCAGAAACATTTTGCTTTGGGGGTCATGCTAATGATAGTGACAATCTACAGGGAGATGTTTTTTCAGAGCTCATGTTGTCTGTTCTACCTCTAAAAATGTTGTTCGGTGCGCCGCTGGTAAGGGTCGGTAGATCGTAAAACAAGAAATTTTGTTTAGAAACTTTTGGTTGTCGAAAAAAAATTACAAATCAATTTTCGGTAGGTAGCTAAATGAAAGTAACACTTTTAAAATGGTCCAGCTGGCTCTGGTTTTATTTGGATAATCTCTTCTTTTTATTAGTTTTAACAGTTCGCATTTTGTGTATTGTATATGTAATCTTGAAATTATAACACCCTGTAGATCGGTAACGAAATGTTCGCGGAATGCGGACCTATGTTTGTATGAACTTTGAGTTATAAAATAAGCCCTTCCGTATGTTACATCATATTTAGGAACACTGTATGTAAATCTCTTCTATTTAAGTGGACAAACCGAAAAACGACTCTGTTCCTTAGTCCTAACCGAAGTTCTAACGGCATTTTTTGAGCCATTTTGGTCACATGGTTTTTTAGGTGTAAAAAAATGTGCTGAATCCGATTATGGATGTTGCCAGGCCGAATTTTGCACCAGTTAACAAATACAGCACGATGGCGCCACTATCTATTGTATTGTGTACTATTTACTATTAAATTGTCTTCCATAATTTATTACTTATATAGGTTAGAGTTGGTTAATTAACTTTATAGCTAGTTCGGAAAAATGTAGGAAAATATATCCGGTGATGATATATAGGGTGTCCCAAAAAAAAGCTGTGAATTAATTAAATTAGTGTTTTACATTTTCCTCGGAAAATTTTGATTGTTATTAAATTTTGTGCTTTTTAATATAAATGTCAAGTATATCCGAAATTCACATCTGTAATTCTGGTGTTCTAAAATTTAAAACAATTGATGTGTTTTCTATTCTCAGGGTTTTTTTGTTTTATGTCATACTTTCCATTTATTAGATATATGGACCCTCTAGTGACCCTTCAAACTGATTCAGCGACCAAGGATGGCTTAAAGCTTCAACGTTCGTAATTATTGAGAAAATTCAGAATCTCTCCTAGTATGATATGACTTAAGGCGTAGAGTTGCATCTTCTGATGATGCTGTTGCCGGGGACATTTTGTGCCACACATATTGTCTCGCAAATGCGATAAGATCCAATGGTCAGACTAATCCAACTAAAAACTTGACATTAAATAAATTATGCAATGAACTAAGAGGTGCACAAATATCTGCAAGTGCCTTGGTGACTGCTTCAATCGTAAAGGACGGACGGACAAAGTGGCCACAATAGCGCATTTTTTTTTTATTTTTGTGGAAATGCGCTAAAAATGACCAGGACGTTGAAGAAATTTAAGTTCCGTTAAAATTTTTGAACGAAATATAACATTTGTCACTTATAATTGCACAAGAGGTTTGTATTTTACCGAATAAATTTGGGTTGTTAAGGTAATGAAAATCTGTTGCCTAGCAATTAGACGAGAAAAACTGTCAACTAATAAAAATGCGACACCGAAGGTGGAGCATTTTTAGTTGACAGTTTTTCGAGTTCAATTGCTAAAAGGAAACAGATTTGAATTGCAACAACCCAAATTTACTCGGTTTAAATACAAACCTCGAGTGTAATTCGGCAGGACAATTTAACGAACAAGAAATTCACCAAACTAATCAATTATTGACAGACGTCAAACTAGTCATATGGGAAAGGATAATGCGATAATTGGTTCGAAAATGAATAAGTGAAAAAACCACTAGTGCATTTGTCGCTGGAAAAGTTGCAGGTAACTTTTGCCGCTGTCAAAGTGACAATTTCACTGCGGCTTATGCGATTTTTTATACATGAGTTGAATTGTCGTCAGAATTATTGGTATATTGTTATTGTTACCGTGTTGTCTGTATAATGTACCCAATATATACCAGTAAGTTTTGCAATTTTCTGTGCCTCCTGTATGTTTTAGCATTGGAAATGCTTATGTTTTGTATGGGTATGAATTTACCAGGTTTGCCGAGTAGAAAAGAAGACAAGTGGTGTCGCGTCTAGTGTTGATTGTACCGTACTCGACTGTAATCGGTAGATTCAGGAAAAGTCGCGGATACTGTCGATACGGTAGGTACTTACTTAAAAGTGCGCAGGGGTTTTGTTAATTCGAATTGAAAATTCTCGCACATCGCCCGTGATAGTATTACAAGCATGTTACGCCGCGTATTATTCAGAAAGTTTACGTTTGCGACACGAGATTATTCCGTGTGAAGGGTTATTTATGACTTTATAGGTTATACGGTTATCATTTCCAATGTCTCCGATGGTTGCAAAGATTGCGAAATCTGTGAATTTTTTTAACTCCTCAATCCGAAAAACTATGTAAAATGCGTCTGGCATAAAAATTTATATATTTGACCGCCATTTTGAAATTAGCCAAAAATCAGCTTGGCAACATCCGAATTCGGGTTCAGCAGACATTTTTACTCTTATAGACGCATGTTTCCAAAATGGCTTATTAAATGCCGTTCGACTTGCGATTTATTAACTATGGCCATCGAAACTGCAAAAGATAGAAATTTGACATTAAGAGCGCAAGTTTTTTTGAAACCGTTAAAGTGTACTTCGAAAGCGCTTCCCAGGAGAACGGCGAAAAACCGAATTAAAACAGAAGGTGATATTTATTGTATGAGGCCGCCGACCAAAGTTAATAAGGCAATAAAATGTTACCTCTTCCCAGAGGCAGCTTCTAGAACTGAATAGATCGATGTGGTCATAGACTATTTCAGTAAATGGACAGAAAAGCACACGCCTTGCCAAATTAAGAATGAAGCGTCAACTGTTGCAGACGTTCTGGTAAAGAACTGTACTCCTGGAACTACACACCGATTAGAGACGAAACTTTGAGTCGGTGTTATGAGTCCTGGGATTCTTAAAAACAGAGCCACTGTTTTACACCTGCAGTTAGACGGAATAATAGAACATGTGAATAGGACAAATACCTGTCAAAAGTTGTGTGCGACCATCATCTACTACATTCATTCGTGATGGCGCACTATTCTGCAGCGCAGGAAACCATAGGATATAGCCCAGTTTCCGTGTTGTTTGGTTGGGAACTCTGATTACCATGTGATTATGTTAAATTTTGCCATAATAGGCAGTTAGCTAACAATAGAGCTTTTTGTTTGGTATAAGTATAAGTAAATTGAATTGTACTTAGTTTCAATTTTAATATTGATGTCGAAGTGATAAATTTGTGAATAAAATCCGCGCTCGTGTTTAAGTTTAGGTGTTAAAAATGTAATTGCAAGCACTTTTAAATATTAATTTCAACTGTTATAAACCATCTATTTAACGACCGTTTTATATTTAGCCTGTCGTTAATAGTGTTAGTTCCTGTGTTCCTGTAGATAATAATAATTAATTTTATGTAAACAAACACTACTTATACCTGTTCTGATTTTGATAACAAGATAGTAGTATATCCGTGTTCATTCTATCCCCAATATAAAGTACTTGACAGTATAATTGCTGTTAATAGTTTGCATTTATTCTATTTCATGAAATGGTGTTCCACGTACACTGTCCGGTTTTTTTGACCTCCAGTTCCTAAACGAATTTCATAATAGTATGTTTCGCATGTCTCGTAATATGGTTTCACTAAAATTATCAAATTATCTTACAGCATCCCAATCGAGCAGCGTGAGCAGTAGCGCTCCAAGTACCGGTCGTCTCCCCGATCCGCCACCTCGACCTTTCCAGCGTCAAGGGAGTCAGCAGGCCTCGTCCGAAGACACCGAGGACACAATGAAGAACCTTAGAAAAACCTTTGCGGGCATTTTCGGCGATATGTAACTTGCAGTCACGGTTTCACTTGTATAAGTCGATGTTAAACGATGAGCGGACGCTTTTAAACGCAGCAAACGAGTCAACGTTCATTTTCCATTGTAGGCGAATTTTTTATGTCGGACATACCACCTTAAAGTTTGTCATAAATTAGATGGGAGAATAGTGAATAAATGTTAGAGCGCAAGAGAGTAGGGAAATTATTTTGAATTAAACGGTCCGCAATAATTTTTCACAAATTATCAAGTCGGTTTTATCGAGCAATTTTGATTAGCAATAATTTTTTTGATGACACAAGTCAGTGTCCAGCAATATTGCGTTGAGTTGAGAGAGCTGTTAGTAGTAAGTGTCATGGATGTGTACTTGGATATACTCAGAAATTAAACTAAGGTATTACTCTTTAAATCTTATAAAATTGTGCAAGCTTGGTGTGCTTTAGATCTTTGATTAGAATTTTGTAGAGATTTTTATATCGATTAAGAAAGAAAATGTGATATTTATTTATGCATATAGTGGCTAGTTTGCTGCATTTAAAATTGGGTGTACTTATCGCCGATTCGCTCAGCAATATAAGTTCAAGATGGATGTTATGTCACTGCCTCAGGCCAGGTACTCGGTACCTTTTGTTATGTTTAGGGTAGTTGTTAAAGTGTATAATATTAACCGATGTCGTTATACTAGATCATTTTGTTACAGGATGAGATGCGGTACTTCAAGTGCCGTTTTTGAAATCCATTACCTATTAGTAGAAGTTTAACGTACAGTGACAATATTGATTGTGTATATTATACCATGTATCTAATGTAATTTTTATCTGATGTATCCTATACATTTTCCGTGCTTCAATTTTTGAACCATGTGAGATTCATCGATTTCATAACAACGAGCCAGAAGATTTAGTTATCTAATGCACAATGTAGAAAATCTTTGAGAACACCTACATTTTCTAATCACACTAAACATACTCATCAACTAAATAAATTAGCAGCGCCCTATATGAATGCAAAAAATAAGTGATCCAAAAGAGACGTGGATGCAAAAGGGGGATTGTTTTCTACAGCATTTTAGCAATAGCTCCATTCGTTTGGATTTTGTGGTTAGGCACATATCATTTGAGATAATGCCAATCATGGCGTCATTGCTGTAGGTCGTTTAAAATTAGATGGTAGTTTTTGAATTCATTAGTACGAGTAGATGAATGTAGGCAACTGAAAAAGAGTGTCATTTTTGTGGCATATGTAAACTTTGTTGTATGTTTGTTAAGAGTTTTATGGTTTACCAATCTACCTTAGCGGGTTTATTCTGAGTGAAGTAGAATGAAGGAAATGCACCGGGATAGTTAAGTCATTTACAGGGTATTCATTTTAAGGTATCCTTAGGTTTCTACTTACAATCCCCTCAACTGGCGTATGGTTTGCCATTATTCAGTAAGAAAGGCACAAAATTGTTGCAAGTGTTAACATTACACAGTATGTTTCCAAAATATATCATACTTTGAAAGAAAACCATCAGCATTTTATTATGATTTAGTTAACATACTGCGTAATTATAAACGTACCTACCTATACAATTAGAGGTGAAATTGTAAAATTACGTGCCTGATTTTTTAATTCCATTAATGTAATTAGTTTAAGTGATACTTCGAGTGCACTGCTTTAAAAGGAACACTCTGTATAGTATGAAATAGATTTTACATTATACTATGTAGCACTTAGAATAGGCATAATCGCTGTGTCGCCTCTCAGAAAATTAACAATAAAATATTCGTTCCCAATATTATTATAAATGTTGAAGCAATCTTCGCCTAGCTATCCGCAACTTAGTTATCAGTTTGGTATGCAACATGCGGGCAAGCAGCGTGTCCACCCTAAGTTGTGAATATAAAAAATCATGTCATAGTGTAACTGTTCTTTATCCATGATTTAGTTAGTTCCCTCCATGGATTTGCATGCAGTCTATAATTTCATTTTAGAAAGTATTATCTGTTCGTCGTTTTTGCCTGCTTCAGCGTTCTCTAGATATTTCAAAGAATCTGATGTCGAGAATGTTCGGTAAACACCTTTTATTACGACTACCCATTTTGTGCTTTGATGTTGGTTCAGGAAGTCTCCAATAATGGTCGAGGACGTAGCTATAGAGAGAATTTTGTAGGAGAGGGCACTTAGGTGGCCCCAAGTTTAGTGGGCACTCTCCTTTACAAACAAAGTAGTCCTTAGTATGCAGTATAATACCAGTAGCACAGACAACATATACTATGTTTGAGTTCAAATATTGACACAAGCACAGTACGTAAATTACATAGGTATACCTACACGTTCCAGATAAAGCTTTATTCAACCTAGGGACCCCCATTAGTAACGCACAACTCACTTCTTTTAATAAAATTACTATAAACATTCCTGGTATATTTTCTCGTACAGTCTCAGTTAATTTCTCTATCAGCATTTCAGCATCATCTTTAAATACGTGGCGATAAACTTTTTGCTTAAGAAAAAAATATATTGTCTATTGGACCATGAAGGTTTTGGACCATAAAGGTTTATCCATTTTCCAACCAAATGAGTGTTGAGAAATGCGGAAACGCGATTTGCAGAATAATAGCCATCTTACTGGAAATAAATTTCTTCTTTATTAGCACCATCTTCAATTGGAGGCAACAAAAAAGCTTTGTAGAAAGCTCAAAGATGTAGTTCTCCCGGTATGAAATAAGGACTAATAATTTTGTTCTATACTGAACTGCACACCAAACACTGACAGTTTTCAATGTTTGACTGCTAGAATTGATTTTGAAATTTGGATGGAGACCAATGCCTATATCCTGCTGCGAGGCGACGACTCAATTTGTAGAGAAGGTCGCTTCATCCTATCCAGTAACAGAACTCCAGTCTATAGGTTTCATCTTCGTCGCAGATAGTGTGGAAAATTTTCATGTAGGTAAAAAAAACAACCTTTTATTGAAATTGGATACTCCTGTTGCCTTGGTTAGATTCCGTAGGGTTTCCACATCCTTAATAGCCAGTACAGCAGGAGAAATATCTTGTAAAGGGCCTCATAGACTTCCGATTTTTCATTCGATTTGCACAACGTGTAAATCAGTTGACACGATCGGACAAAGAAATTGGGAGTGTATGGATAAAATCGAACGGTCTTGCACGTCGGTTAAAGTAAATGACCGAATCTTTAAGAGGTTTTCTTTACTTCCTTTTAACTGATAGACAAATGTAAATTTTCAACCTTTAAAGGAATCAGTTATTACTGGTCTGAATACAAAAAATGGTTCCCTTAAACATACAGCAATACTGGGTCGTTAAAAAACTGATTGAGCCAAATCGATACAAATTCCTAGGTCTCGCATAATGAATGGCACCTTTGATAAATGGTTTTAATTACGCGCATTCAAAATTGCGTGGTCCGATGGTAAATGCCAATGTCGTATAAAAATACAATTTTCCCGAAATCGTCATGATATCATTTTCATGCTTACTTTTATGTCTGGAAATTTTAGATTCCATGACAGTGGCAGAAATACGTTATCTGACTACTTTTCCTGCACCATGTCACCTTACCGGTCGCATTTTCGGCTGCATCTGTCACATTGGTAATGTCGGTAATGTCTAATGATTCCTGTCATCACCGACAGATTGACATTAATCAAAAGTTCTATGCAAATTACAATTTTATATTAAAAAAGATGATTTCGGGTAAAATTCATTACAAAAATCGTCAGTAAAATGACACTATTTGACTCGGAAATTAAAGTACCCGGCCCCAACGAGGTTTCGTGCCTCAATATTTCCTCACCAGTAATCTAATCATTTTTCTGACTCTTATGTCAATAACTATTCCTGAAATCGGTATGAAACCTTCATTTTCATGCCCACTTGAGGTCAGTTTCCATGACAGTGGCAGTAACACTTTACCTGACTACTTACCACTTTACCACACTCCTGTCAAAACTGACACATTAATATTAATAAAAAGCTTTATATGATTAGAAATTGTACATTAAAAAAGTCGATTTCGGAACATCGGTTTTCAGTATTGCCTCGCCAGTAATGTGTCATTTTCCTGACTTTTATTTGTAACTAACTATTGCTCACGACCAGCCGCCTCAGATGTGCGACGAATTTCAATAAGTCAGTTCTTTAGTTTTTAAGGCCACAAGAATTTAATTTCGCGCATTTAAAACTTCCGACATTGTCTGTATTTAACGTAATACCACAAATTTAAATACACTAAAATCTGTGGTAATACGTAGTTTCTAAGTCGTAAATTATCCCTGATAACTTACTAAAGGTTACCAAAACCTTTAAATCGCGCATTTAAACTTTACGCGTTTACTTTGTTTAAGCTAGCTAACCGAAGCGCGTGCAATTTCTCCGAAAATAATAGTTCTCGTTTATTAGAATGTCACAGCAATCTATTAAACTACTCTACCCTTTGTATTATTATTTATTGTTTATAGCTTATACGCGCGAATTAAAAAACACCCCACGGTAATACACAGTTGGTTGATTTGACTTCGGTCGCGGCTGAGCGTGAATTTTCTTTTCACAAACAAAAGACTCCGCGGTAATTTACAGGTATTTGACCTTACTACATTCGCGGCTCAACGCGAATTGCCTACGTGTGTCCCAGAACAACCAACTTCTCACTACTTCACTTTTCAGTTAACACCCTGTAATGTTCCTAGGGGTCCTCAGGCGGTACTGGAAATATTACTTACCCTGTACTTACAGTTGGCAACTCTGGGGAAACAAATTGCAGACAGCGCCATCTAACTTTAGCTGTCAAAATGTCGGACGTTCGCGCCACCTTCAGATCTCGGTAACATTCGGCTTGGACGAAATTGTACGAATGGACTGCTACGTTGTCATTTTCCTATGGCGGTCTTTTATGCGTTCGAACGTGAGACACAATCGGGAAGAGAATTAAATAAAAGACAGAATTTTTGTGCGTCCGAAAGGGAATGAGAAAATAAAATTTATTACCCACGGGGCTTGGTTCAGCAGAGCAAATCCAAACCGAAAAGCCAGGAAAAAAGAACCAGCAGTAAAAAAACCTGGCATAACACAAATACAAGAAATAAATCAATTACAGGTAACAATGTGCAAACAGAAATACGAAAATCAAACATCTCAAATCGTACAACAAAAATCAAGTAATAGAGGCAAATGTGGCTAGAACAAATTAATCAAAAACGATAGATAAAAATGACATAATTACAAATTGTGAACAAAATAAATCATTGGGGTATAAAACACTATCTGAAAAAAAAACACATCAAGGGTTCAATTTAAACAACGTAGAGCAGGCATGACCGTGTCCCGACCTTGCTTACCATTCATTTATTACGTGAAAAGTGCACGTACACCTGAGAATGCCAACACAGGTATTCAAGCGGAAGCAGACCACACCACATACAAAATCCACATTTTAAACAGAAGAGAAATTAATCAGAGGGCCCCCCTTTCTCGCAATGCGAGACGCTAAGAACTGCAGCCTGCGCGAGATGAAAAACATATACAGCGACAGGGCAAACTGCATGTGGTTCTTCTCTTCCACGGAAATAAATTATTAATCCAAACATTCAGGGCAGTAACATTCTGGCAATCCACTCCCGCGTAAACACATTCAAATAATAATGGGAAACATTGCGGCATAATCAGGTGCACAAGAGAACCAAGCTAAAACATGACTCATTTAACGGTAAACTCAAACAATAGCCGCCCACGCCATGCCTGCAATCAGCAGAGGTCAAATCTAAAGCAGAGTTCAAAACGAAACCAAATAAGGCATGAAATTTAAACATCGAATTTAAAATAGCTTAAATAAAACGAGTACTACCTTGATATCGCTTGGAAAAATATATCAAACACTAAACTATGAAAAGCACACAAAACCGATACGCCACCATCAAAATCTGGACCACCAGTGCTCCCGCCGACGCCACTTTCCAGCTTCCTGTAGGTACTAAATTCACGTCTGCGCAGAACGGGATTTTAAAATTCCTTTAGTAGTAAGATGTGTTGCCTATCGGTAGAGGTTCAACATCACAATTCATCCGGTGACGCACACCAGTTCCTCTAATAAACTAATTTTACACAACCAATCAGATTCCTTGACTTGATTCCTTACTCAACGTGTAATAATTTCCTGCTGATCTTGCACATTACACACGACTCAGCAAAGTAAACAAAATCTCTCTTGTAGTCTGAATAAATAACGCCACGACTCACCAGCACCTTATGTTTTCAAACGCAGTTGACAAAGTCAGGACCGTATTCAAAGACCACTCCTTATATTTTGCATGATACCTACAATTTGAAAAGCTACTGTACGAAAATTCTTCTTTTGATCCCAAACTGGAAGAAACCGCTGCTTCACCAAACTTCAACTACCAAACTGATAAAAATCAATGCTCGGCACTCGTGTCATTTTCACTATATCTCTGAGTGTCTAATTGAAGGATGAATGATTAGTTTGAAGCGGTGAGCAATATTTATCAAATCCTTTGCCATTGACTGTACAGTACATACAGAGATACAGTCTTTCAACATTTGTTTATTTCCTAAAATCTCTTGTTAAATATGAAAATTATTTGTACGCCATTAATTTTTTTCGTGAAAATGTACAAAACCGGTTAAGGGGGTGTTGGTTGGAATTACTTTTGCATGCAGCTTGGCTGGATGGTCATTGAATTATGTATTTGCATGTGAAAAAATTAGAAGCGCCAATGGTCGGGTGTTAAGCAAGTTAATGTATGTAGATGTACGTGACCGTCGGCTGATTGAGATCCGTCGTTTTTCGACTATTGCAACTGACAAGCTAGAGATTTCTGTTAATAATAATAATAATAATAGTCATTTAAGTTGTACATAAAACAGAATGGTTAAAATTAAAATTAATATACATTAAGGCCGTTCGTCCATCGACGCGACGCAACTGCGATCCGACCGTTAATAAAATCACATTACAATCCGGAAATAATTGCTAATGCGTCTGACCCTGTATTTTATACAGTTTCTCGTCCACCAAGGCGACGGCAACGCAACTATCGCGCAACTCGGGCTCAACTGATCGTATGGTGACGGGGAATGTCAGTTGCTTTATAATTAAGTCATGCGCACAGAGTCATTTTTGGGTCACTTGATGGACGGGAAAATGTATCGTTTATCGCCTAGCCGATTGTCGCAAGCAACTTTTTATTGTTCGAATCGCAGTTGCGTTGCGTAGATGGACGAACGGCCTTAGGTACATTTATACTTGGTAGAAGCGCGACGGTGAAAGTAAACATGAAGGCATTACGCGTTAGATCGTCGCTTCAAGTTGTGAATCAACGACGGAAAGGAAATCCGCTGTAAGACAGTAACACGCGCGTCAGCAGGGAAAAGGGTCTAAATTGAACATAAGTGAGTTTTACGTGAGATGATTATTTATTTATTTATTTCAATTTACTTATTATCTCTTGAAGAAGAGATAAAAAATTTAGTTTAGCGCAATCAAAATTTTGTCGGGAGGAAACAGCTGTGTGTAACTGTGCTAGTTTGAACGGCATGAGTGGATTTGAAATAAGTAAATCTTTGACTGTTGGACATATTCATTTAAAGAAAAGTTGCAAAGGAAGAAATAAATGGTGAATTACCGATAGCGGCAGTTCGAAAATTGAATTTGAACTCGTGGATACTCAATTTAGGAAGAATGGGCAGTAAATAAACAGTACAACGTAAGCCGGCAATGCTTTTCATTCGTCCACCGACGGATTGCGTAAATTGTACAATCTCTTGAAATTTACAGGAGTTCCCACTTATTCATTTTTCCTTACTGACCGACTTTTAGAGATACGGTAGCAAAACAGCCTCATTTATTTATTTATATGTTATGTGCAAGTCTACCTAGAACGGTTTACAAAGTGATTATTAATCTCAAATGCTTTTCCAAACTGAAAACTATGTTGTTCATAAACACGAGTAGCATATGAGATCTCGACAATGCTAGTATTCTTAGCGCCCCTGCTCCCACTATAATCAACAAGCCTTCAAAATTAGCAAGAAAAATTCAGTTTTCATTTTTTCTGCAAATAAGCTTGGATCTTCGGGCGTATTCCATACTCCTCAGACTCTCGGTGTTACAGTACCCTTTAAACTGCTCAGTCCTAAAGACTCTCTTGATAGTCTTTCATACAGGAACATCGACTCCTCTTTTTTTAGCTAGTATTTTATACCTCAGCAGGAACGTGGAGTTATGTTAGATGGCATCTTTCCAAAAATTATGGTGTAAGTACCGACGGCACTAAACGCTCTGGAGGAGACTAGGATATCGACTCAATAGAAAGTGACTAAACGGCTAGTGTTTCAAAATCGCCTTGAAATTGTAGACTCCGAGTAAAATTTTGAAGATAAGGAAACGTTGGGGTTGTACCAGGAAACTTTCGATACTTGGTACCACTTTTTTAATTAGCGCAAAATTTAGTGAATACAGTGAAAAATTTTTGCAGTTAATCTTTTTGATGACTTTCTGGTCATCCCAGCAAGCGAATCCTTCCCAGTCCCCCAAAACCCATCTTCCCTCTTAATTACTTCGTAAAATTTTAAACGCCTACAATGGTGGATTATCACTCAAAATGGCGATGTTTAAATTTCCATTGGTTAGTGTCTTTTTTATTACCAATCCCAGTTGGTTTTAACGGTCGTTAATAAATTCAAAATAATTATGCACTTTCCGCACTTTCCACGGTACGAGTTTATCTCATGATGGGTTCACCAATGTAATTCAATATAGCTCATTAAGGGTGTGAAACCTGGCACTAAACTGAAACAGGAAGGACCCGCAGGATTATTAGAAAACAAAAGCCCCTACGAAATGGATAGGTAAACGTGACGCATATTATATTGACCGCAATCGACCAGATAAATTCTTTACACAACCAAAATTTGTTTGGGAAGGCACTTCAGAACGTTGACATTTTTTACAACCTATTTATGTGAATTTAACTCCTAACTTGTAATTGTTCTCTTTACAACATCCCCTTGAAAGAAAGATTCAATGTTCATTTCTCTACAACTGCAGATGTTATGTGCCACAGTGAACCTTCTTCACTTCACACCGATATCTTTTGGTTGGCTGGAGTTACGACGGTCATTTAATTGTCTCCACCTATATATTTTGTTCGTTTAGAATTGTTATTGGTGGTGGTAGGGTAGCGATTTTTACCAATAATTATCAACCCACACCCCGTTGACGTTGCCAATTAAAAACCTTTTCTTCCATTCGTTTTTAGGTTTTGTTTACTATGATGGAGTTTTAGATTGGCGGTGAGATAAACATTTAACGCGTATTTGCGGTTTTGAGCGAAATTGCTCAGTACTTTTCCTTCCAATTTTAGAATAGAAATTAATATTCCCACCTGAAAGCGTAGGTGAACCCCTTCATTAACCGCATGTGTAACATCTGCCTCATAAACGAACCCTGCAAATATGTGCTTAGCCATTCTGATAAAGAAAACTGATAATTTCCATACGGGTCATTTAACGTAAGGTAAATAAGCACATCGCTTGCCATTTAAATTAATGCAAGTTTTTGTTTTCAGGACTGGCTGTACGTTTTTAATCGCGTGGTGCATATCTGCGGCTTAGAGTGCCGGAAACACTTATCAGCAAAATTGAAATACGACAGTTTATAATGTTTACCTCGAGGGGACGTGTGCAAGCGTTAGAACAGTGCCGTTACACCAGTGTTTTTGGGGATGTTGTGATACTGAACCAAAGTTTACCTATGAAATCTCAGCAAGAGCTCATTCCTCTGCCCAGTCTGTCGAGGACGCCCTTCAAAGGGCTCTCTAAATCGCGGGAACAGTCGGAAATAGAGAGCAAGAGGAGGGCATCGCAATTAGTCGACGAGCTACTTTTGCAAATTTATCACAGGAATAAGTGTTTGAGTTGCAGTGGATATACTTCAACTACATCATTAAGGTCGCAAACTAGTTTCAGCAAATACTCATCTTCCGACCTTGAGGAAAAAAGTGAGTACCATTTTTGCAAAACTGAACTCGCATTCGAAGTCATATTTCAAAACCCCAATTAATTAAGCGCGCTTCTAACGAAACCACTCACGACTACTGTTAATTATACTCACTTCAATGGGAGAAATAAAATTCCAAAATTCGGTATTCCAATTAACGCCTACTGTTAATTGGAATGTGGGGAACAACCGGCAGGGTCGGAGATAGTAAGGTAATAAACACGTAGACTGTACGGCCTCGACTGGTAAAACCGGCTAAATAATGATTAACAGAGGTGAAATTTTAAAATATTAATTCGCATTTGTCTTCTAAAAAGTCATTTTGGACGCAACAAAAATAATTGAAATATCTTGACGGGAACGGTTTCAAACGGCGCACTAATTACAGCTTTTGTTTACGGTAACGCCGCGGCGGCTGAACCACAAGTCTAGAAATGAAATCAATTACCTTTACCTACTATCTTCAACTACTAAAACCAACACCTCGACCAACACAAATATGTTCGGCACGACACTTTTCGTAACGAAGCGCTTTCAGATACCGGGTGTTCACCTGTAAAAGTATGTAAACTTCAAGGTGGAAAATAGGTGCTTCATTATAATGGTTCTTGAGCCAAAAAATTATAAAATAATCGCTCGAGGAAACGCATATTTTGTGGCTTGGGGCCTTGCTTCCAAACAAACAATTTTGAATTTCGAAAAGCTGCTTGTTGAATGTCGTAGTTCTTTCCACCATCCATTTTTACCACGCGCAGTAAGGGAGGTATTGCATTGGGTTAAAAAATGACCTCTCACTTTTTTTACGGAAATACACGTTTTGAAGCACCTCAAAGTAGCTCAATTTAATAAACTCACTCCCAAACAAATAGGACAAATATACCACGCTACAAGACTCGATCGAAATAGATTAAATTATCTTGTAATGTCCATAATCCAAATCCAGTCTGGCACTGCGATTTCCATTAAACAGACGTGTACAAAGAAACACTGAATTCGTCTCAGAAACTTCACTTCTTTATTACATAACAGTTCAACTTTTCTCCGAATACGTGACACCTCGCGTGACACTAACTAACTTTCCTCAATCCGGGAGCCTGCACGGCTCCAACAAATGGGCCCCACTCTACCCAACGGCTAAAACGTGCCGGTGGCAGTGGCGAAAAGGCGAACGGCAAAAAGCCATAGCGTCTTCCTTCTTCTATTTAACACCTTTCCCCCTCTTATCCCATCTTGGATTACACTTCCAAATTCTCTAGTTAAAATAAACAAAATTCTCTTATCTAAATCCGCATCTGCGACATCTGCTTACAAAATTAATTAACTTTATCGATAAGCGCAACTCTTATTCGCGCCGGAGCAACACATGAGATAAGCTTTTCAAATATTACGCAAATAACTTTGAGACGTTTCTTATCCCATAACACATATTTTTTTACAATTAAATAAACTAAATAAACAAATTACAATGCGGCTATAATTAAAAATTAACATCGACTAACCCACGTAAATTTAGACAACAATGTATAAGATCTTGATATATTAGGAAAAATATAGCAATAAATACAGGGTGGTCAACGACGAGTCTTTCAGCACTTATTTGCATCGATATCGACCAATAAATAAAAGAGATATCAATTTCTTCCTTAAGATGCATTTTGGTTAGGAAATGGATCTTCACTATTATTATTTCCAAATAATTATGAAAATTCTTGAAAGATTTTCAAGTTTTTGTCCACGTTTCCAACATTTCTGAAACACTCTATAATTATTTATTACAAAATTTTAATTTTGAACTTTAAACATTGTTCAAAAATTGTACACATTTTCGATACATCTCTTAAATGTTTTAAATATTTGCAAAAATGCTACACATGTTCTGAGATATTTTCGATACAAAATACGAAATATGAAAGCTAGACTACGCGGTTTGTGACGAATTCACTGTTAGATTGTGTTAGAAGATGGAGCAACAAATCAACCTCAAATTCCTTGTTGAACTCAGAAAACTGTCACGGAATCCTGTAAGTGTTTCTGCAACTTTACGACCATGTTTGTTTGAATTGTGGAAGAGCATTTCAAATTGTTGCAATTAATTGCAACGGGTTTCTTAGTAAATTGGTGGATGCATGAAACGCACTTCAATGTGAGTGGAAAAATTATTCACCGAATTTCAGATAATGGCTACTGAAATGTAACTGATAAATGGAATCTGATAGTAGATGAAGTTTCGTATTCGTGGAACGATTAGATAATATTTTATTGACCGCCCTTTGCGTTAACGAGCATTCGATACGACTTTTTCCACCGTTAATAATTGGACTAAGCAAGTAAGCCGAGCGCTATTAGATTTCTCATGGTGATTTATTAACTATACAGTTGAATAATTTTTGGTTTTTGTATTACCGTTCTCCGTGGCGTCAGTCGATTCGTCCAATTCAGTTTATATAACCATTTTGTGAAAACAGGCATGATCGGATTTATTGAAAGTTATTTTCTTAATGTCTATAAAAATTGTAACTTATATTAAAACCTGAAAATACGTAATTAAAAATGGCGCAGTTTGACACTGAGCCTTCCCAAAATTGGGCAGATATAACAATCGTGATATCAAAAACGAATTAAATTTAATTCCTAGACATCAAGTTAATACATTTGCAAGTGTCGTCATTAAATCACATTAGTTAATATAATAGCTATTCTCAAGTGGGTCATAAGGCTCGAGGAAGTTAATTTCTCAAGTGGATAAAGTGCCAATGACACACGCGTCATATGCAACATTTTATCCAAAACAGCTCAATGAGCAGGTTTTTAGCAGTTATTAAAACCTGATACGTTTTCCGAAATGGATCGTGATTGTTAATGTAGGAATTATAAATTCATTACCTACATGAAACAAATTGAAGGCGCTTAGGGCGAGGTTTCCATGGAGTTGTGGTGATTTATAATATTATCCACTGCATAATGTGTAATTTTTTCCACTAAAATTGAACGTAAATGAGTTCTTTATTGGATGGATTACACATTTTACATCGTAGTGCATTATACATACTCGAGTCAAAAGTTATTCGCGCTTTTTCCATACACATCCTTAGGTTATCTTTAAGTTTGTCACACTGGACTCGACAAACTTTGTATTGCAATGGTAGTTTCTTCTTTTAATTCGATTGGGAGTTACATGATGCTATTCGGACCCCGAGCTACGATTATGAAGTTAATAAAAGTTGATAGAAGCGTTTCTAACAAAAAAATTGCGGGAGAAACCCGAAATTTTCCATAATTTTAATAAAAAGTTGTTTATTACGTCAAAACGTGAGGCTATTTTCATATTTCATGATCACTTTAAGTTGGTAAGAATGTACGTAATATTCCCGAGTGCCAACTTCAATGTCCAAAGAGGTTACGTTAACATTTTTCGATTGTTCTCTAGATATTTTAATAAATGGTAAAAAAATTAGAAAATGGTTATGTAAAACCATGCATGTGTTTGTGATTATACAAACTATGATAGCAGTAAGTAGTTCTCTACATGTTTTACATAATTCTTATGTAAATTGTTTATAGATAAGCAGCATTTTATCCATGCATCATAATTAAAATGTTTACCAATTGGAAACATGAGATATGTACACTTTAACTCGTTTGATTAAGAACTATTGTAGAATGTAGCATTCGGGTGTACAAGATGGTTGATGCTAATCGGCGGTCGATACGAAAAATGTTGCCCATGAAAGATGCGAGAGGTGCCCTTTCCTCTCTCGAGTGTAAAGGGCGGTCGATACGGAAAAAGCTTCTCTTCTTCTCTAAGGCGTTCAAATTTAGACTGTGCGCCCTTCCAATAGTGGTTTTATGAAAGTGTATCCACATGGAACTTGGAAGTGTCGCATCTCGTGTCGCATATATTGTGTATCACTCGGAGTATACCTAAAATTGTACTGTTTATTAGATCTATTATATTACTTCTACTGCATTCACTGTTAATATACACGTTGTACCCAGCTTCGCGTGGAAGCGTGAACGAATGCCGTGTTCAGAAAAATTATAATTGAATATTGTACGACTAAATACAGAGTGTCACTGTAACAACCTAATATATTTCAATTTAGTAGACGAAGAAGTTAACAAAACCACTTACAAAATTGAAGCTGTCGCTTTCTCAAACTGATCAGCTTTTTAAATTTTACCAATCATTACGAATGAGGAAATATGAAGTAACAACCTCACATTTGGACGAAATTAACCGAACTTTATATTAAGATTTTACAAAATTTCGGAATTCTTCCGCAATTTTTTTTAATTGAAAGCGCTTATTTGAGATACCCTCTCACAATTTGTACTATTTTCATGATCGTAGTTCGGGGTCCGCATAACGTTATGTACCCCGATTGGGAATTCGATTCGTTTTTTGCATTAATCTTCCGTAGCTTTAATGTTTTCGGCCGTGGTCGTTAAAACACAAGTTATAGCAAGAAATACTACGCAACATTTATCAAAACACGCAGAAATCTACAACGTAAATTTGAGAGGGAAATTGTTTCGTTCTTACAAAGTATAAGTGAGTCAATGTGAATCGTTGTCTCTTGTCTATTTATGAAACACTCGTTATTAACTGCACGAAAACCAAATAACACCCAATAATATATCGGTCTTCGAATCTGTTCGTCAACCGGAACTACCTTCTACAGTTGGTCTGGCGCCGATAGGAGGGCTGCTAACGTCTTTTTGCAGAAAATGCCAATCTTGGACAAACCGTTGCAGATCCAAACACTGCGGCATCACGAACAGGAATTCTGATTGGGAATTGGATATAGCTCCGAATATAGTAACATAAGAGTGGTAGAAAACGGAATGGGCAAAAAAACTCCTCCTTAAATAACTTGCTCTGAGTGTAACTTAAGTTTTTTCAATTCAACATCCCATCTAAGATTTTAAATGAACTTATTGTTTTTGTTTTTACCTATTACTTAAAATAGGTATACAAATAACGCGACCAGTTACAGTATC